AGACCCTGCCTGCCCTCTTTCTGACTGGTGTAGAGTCTCTGGGTATTGGACTTGGGGTGAAAACCTCCATACATTGTGAAGATCATCTGAGTCTTCATGTTGGTAGCCTCCATGTCCTCCTTTGGCCATCTCATTATACTGGCAGGGTATCTGATGATTGGCAGGATGTACATTTTGATGGTGTGGATCTTGTTCTTCCCATTAAGCTGGTTCTTCAGGACCTGTCTTATCCATTGGTACTTGGATGTTACTGTCTTCCTTGCCCCCTCATCATGATTCCCAAATGACTGTGGGATACCAAGGTACTTGTAGCTGGTCTGTATGTCTGCTATGTGGCCTGCTGGTAGTTTTACCCCATCAGTCTTAACTACCTTCCCTCTCTTTATTACCATCTGGTCACACTTCTCCAGTCCAAATGACATCCCAATGTCCTCACTATAGATCCGTGCCAGGTGGATCAGAGAGTCAATGTCTCATTCACTGTTAGCATACAGCTTGATGTCACCTATGTAGAGGAGGTGGCTGAGGATAGTTCCACTCTTGAACTTGTATCCGTATCCAGTCCTTGTGATTATCTAGCTGAGAGGGCTCAAGCCTATGCAGAACAGCAGCGGGGACAGTGTATCACCTTGGTATTTGTTCCACTTGATGGCCACTTGTGCGAGCTGTCTTGAGTTGACTTCCAGTGTTGTCTTCCACAGTCCCCATTGAGTTCTTGAGGATGGTTCTTAGTGTCCTGTTCACTTTGTATAGTGCCAGGCATTCACAGATCCATGTGAGTCGTAGGCTTTTCTATAGTCAATCCAGGCTGTGCTCAGATTGATCTGTCTAGACCTGGAGTCTCGGGTGACTGCTCTGTCTATGAGCAACTGGCATTTTGAGCCTCTGGTGTTGTTCCCAATACCCTTCTGAGCTGTGCTCATGTACTGGCCCATATGGTTTTGTAGCTTGGTGGCTATGATGCCTGATAGGACTTTCCACATTGTGGAGAGGCAGGTTATTGGCCGGTAGTTGGATGGTGCTGTTCCCTTTGAGGGACTTTCATGATCAGCATTGTCCTTCCTTGTGTTAGCCAGTCTGGGTGAGAACCTGCTGCTCACAGCTGGTTCATCTGTGCTGCTAGGCATTCATGCACTGCTGTTAGTTTCTTTAGCCAGTAGTTGTGGATCATGTCTGGGCCAGGTGCTGCCCAGCTCTTCATGTTCTTGACCTGCTGTTGGATGTCTGCGACTGTGATGGTGACTGGTTCCTGTTCTGGGAGATTGCTGTGGTCACAGGTCCTGCAGCACTGGTGTTTTGTGTCTTCTCTTTCTTCCATATGTTCTTCCAGTACTGTTCAGTTTCTGCTGGTGGTGGCTCTGCTGTTACTCTGTTGTTGCACTGCAGTTGGGAGTACACCTTGGATAGTTCTTTGGAGAACAGGACATTTATCTTCTTGGCCTCTCCTTCTCTAGTGTACCTCCTTAGACTGGTAATCAGTGCTGTGAGCCTTTGTTTAGCAGTCTCTAGGGCTTCAGATGGAGTCAGGCCCATGTATTTTTTCAGTAGCCTTATCCTTAATCTCTACACCCTTCTGTAGTTCCACCAGCTGACTAATTTCTCTTCAAGTTGCCTTGATCTTAGCCTCCAGTCTCATTTTCTGGGGGTTGTAATGCTGTTCTTGATTGTGTAGTCAAACATCTCCAGGATTACAGCAGCTGTAGTGTATACCAGTTCATTGGTTTGAGTTATGGTTGTAGTAGGGATTATCGTGAGGGCTCAGTTGGCATCTTCTGGCATACTGTCTGGTGGTACTTCCCCACTGAACCTTGGTAATCGGTCCTGAGGGTTAACTGTAGCTAGTTTATCCATGATCTTATACTTCATATCAGCTGCTGTGCTCTGTAATGGAAGGGGTGGCAGTGACATTCCAGATTCAGATGTTGGCTGCATATCTGTTGTTCTTCCGGGTCTTCTTGAATCTGGGATGTAATGTGTAGTTGGTCTATTTCAAGTTGTGAGGGCACTTTCCTCTTCACTATATTGAAGCATTGGCTAACTAGCTATTTCTCAGTTAGCGTGGATGGATTTCTGTCCATCCATAGTTCCCTCATACGTTTCACATATCCCCCCTCATTAGGTTTACTGTTGTAACAGCATTCTATCAATTCCAGGTTCTCTTGTCTCGTCCATGTATGGTTTGTTCCACTAGCCCACTTATCATCAGATTGTCCTGGTTCCCCAACATCTGGTGCAGACCTTGTTAATTCTGGCAGTGTCTGAGCTGGCATGACTCTCTTAGTTCATGTCACTCTCATATCCGAGGTAGGCAGATGAAGCGTTAGGTGGTCTTTGCCCAAGGACTCCTACTGGTAAGGTAGGTACCAGATGGGATTCAAACCCCAGTCTCCCATGTCAAAGGACGGTGCTATGTTATCCAGCTGCCTATATATAATTTTTGTTGAAGATTTTAATTACAGTAATAAAAAGTAATACAAACTAAACTCAGAGAGAGAAAGAAAAGTAAAAAGAGAGAGTAAAAAGTGCAAAGAAAGAAAAAAAGAAAAAGAAGGAAAGTGAAAGTGAAATAAAGAAAAGAAATATATAAAGAAGTGACTTCCAATTTTCATCACAACAAATATAAACAAGTTTGATAGATTTTCACCTCCTATAAGGTTACAAACAGATATCTTTTCTTCCCATAACCCATCCCTTATCTATAAGCAAATCCATAAGATTTCAACTTTTCAATCCTGGTGTCAGCAAAAAGTCCATAAAGGGTTGTCAGAATTTCATGTCTTATTTTAACTTTGATCAAATAAACCAGCTTTATATTCCTTCCTTTTGCTTCTGAAAATCTTAATCTTTAATTAATTCAAATATTGTTGTAGGATTTGATCTCTCTTCAATTCATTTTTGTCCCATCGCATAGGCTTCTTCAAGGCTTTAACAAGCTTCTTTTGTAAATCCAATAAAAATACATTATCCAAGTC